TGTATGTAGCTCTCAGTTCTCACTGTGAACTTGACTGCTGGAATACCGTGTATAGCTCTCAGTTCACACTATGAAGTGAGACTGCTGGAATATTGTATGTAGCTCTCAGTTCACACTGTGAACTTGACTGCTGAGACACTGTATGTAGCTCTCAGTTCACACTGTGAAGTGTGACTTGTGATGTGTGTGGCTGGCATTCTGTGCTATGACTCGGTCTACTTTTCTACTGTGAAGGTAAACGAAAGCAGTGACGAGGAGCCCGAGAGACCTGCAGAGGCCTCTGCTGCCTCCCTGCCTGCCGAGGAGGGAGTTGGAGATGGAGGCTCTGCAGAGCACTCCAAAAACCTCGAGGTCTCCAGGCCTAGCAACGCCTATGAGTTCGGGCAGGTCCTTCACACCATCTGCACCCAGAAAGACACAGAGGCCTGTGCACAGCTTTTAGCCATCACTGCACCCAGAGATCTGCCAGTGCTGCTAAGCAACAAACTCGAAAGCGACATGCTCCTCCTCCTCGTTCAGTCTCTGAAGAGTCACCTTGTGGCTAAGGACCCCTCGCTGGTGTATGAGCATCTCTTGTACCTGAGCAAGGCGGAGAGGTTTAAGGTGAGCAGCAAAATGCCTGGGAGGAGCCTGGCTTGGGGTTGGGTAGCTTTGAGCTCATGGGACTGTCCCTTTTCCAGATGACCCTGACACTAATTAACCAAGGCCAAAAGGAGCAGATGGCACAGCTGCTGGACAGCCTGTCACAGGCACAGGCCGACCGGTTCACTGCTGAGGACGTGCAGGTCCTAAGAAGGCAGTACGGGCTTTAACACAGGGCTGCTGAGTTCCCGACCCTCCAAGACAGCATTGCATGGGTGAAGCTACACCCAGAAGGATCCCTGTTTGGACTGTTGGACATTGTACTTATTTTTATATCCAGAATATATATACATATATATTCTACAATCTGGTTTTTATTGGTTGTAAATATTATCTTCTGTACTAGAGCCAACACATTTATATTTAATAACTATATTTGGAACTTAGCAAATTACATTCTAATTTGCAGTACACATTTTCTTCTAATGACCTACCAGTTATAAACTCAATGTCTTTAGTTCTTTAAAAGCAAATGTTAACAGTGATGATTCCATCACTTTCTATCCCCCAGATAGAAATAAAATTCATGTTATTGTCAGTTGAGATGAAATACAACACTCATATCTAGAAGATTATTATAGTTTATTAATTTAGAACCACAAGGAATTTATTTTTTCTAATATGAAAACAAACATTGCAATAAAAAGTTGCCAAAAATTCCAATCATTTTTTACTATGTGACTTTCCTTATTTAAGTACTGTGAGCAATAAAATGATCTGAAACAAAGCCAGCCTGCATTTGTATTTGAGTTGTCACCCTGCCCCTTATCTCCCAAACATTCAAATGTCCCCATCCGATGTTTTGTTTTCTGCTTTATTGGGTATATATTTATTCCTTTACTGTAAAAGTGAAGGGAAAAAGTCATTATTGCTTCTTTTTCTGGGCTAAAGGTATTCCCTGTGCAATAAGTACTCAGGCCTTTGGAAAGAAGGTATATTTATTTATTCATTTAACGTGTGTGTGCCTGCATGTCTCCATGTGCGCCCCATGCATGCAGGCTGCCAAGGCCAGGGGAGAGCACTGGATCCTCTGGTCTGGAGTTAGAGATGATGTGAGCCTCCCGGTATGCGAGTCCTCAGCAAGAACAGCCATGCCTCCAGCCTCGACGCTCAGGCCTTAACCCGTGCACTGTCTTTTACTTCTGTGGTCCACGGCATTCTTTCTCAGGGGTATTTATTTCTTCATTTGAAAGTTGCTGTGAAAGAGTAACGCCATTTTCGTATCTTTTTTATAATTAGAGTATTAGGACTCGTCATGGGTTAAATGATTCTCTAGTCCTTAACTACACATTTCTCCTTAAGTTATTGTAACAGTAGACAGTGGATATATACATACATACATACATGATGGCAGTCTCTTAGCAGTCTAGCATGTGTTGATGTCATAGATAACTAAGCTTGTTCAAGGACTCCCTGCGGCTGCTCACATACACACACCGCATGACGCATTTCTCTGAATATGTCCTCATCAGGAGTGGGGGTCAGGCAGGAAACAAAGGGTGAGACTAAAATGGGAACAACATACCTTGTAGCTTAAGGATTCTGTCTGCAGTAAGACAGTTAAGAGTGAGTTCTGGGCTGGAGAGATGGCTCAGTGGTTAAGAACACTGGCTGCTCTTCCAGAGGATCCAGGTTCAATTCTCAACACCCGCATGGCAGCTCTCAACTGTGTGTAACTACAGTTCTAGGGGATCTGACACCCTCACACAGACATACATGCAGACAAAACACCAATGCACCAATGAAATTAAAAAAAAAAAGAACAGAAAAAGACTAAATTCCTGTTTGTCCCATGTTGATTTGACCCATCTGCACTGGATGGGCTTGATCACACGTAGGTGGGAGGGATGTGGGAAGGAAGTATGTCAGGATGTACCCTTGCCCATGACTGGATATAGGCAGGAGGTACACAGGCAGGAAATACGTCAGGCTATATGCTTGCCTCTGATTGGACCTGATGGGTTTGCCTTTATAAACCTCAGCAAAGTATGACTTGTCACCACTTCCTGGGAATCCTGGAATGGACCTGACCAGTCCATCCACCTGGCCAGTATTTAATTAAAGCTCACTTCAAATTTGGCTTTTAATTGTGGGCTGATTCTTGCCCAGCGGGATTAACACAGGCTGGACAGCGCACTCTCCTGGGAGGAAATGCGACCAGATGCCCAGAGCGCTTGCCACTATGACTTTCCAGCCAGGAGGCTACATTTTGGAACTGCCTTAAATTGCTTGTCAGGCAGTTTGTCCTGAAACAAGACAAGTAACTAGTACAGGACGGCTCCACCAGAGGAGGGACAAGACACATAGGATTCACTGGCATCTCATGACATCATTTTTGCTAGATTCCTATTCATTAACTTTTAGACTTCTGCAGAAATGTCAACATATCCACAGAGATTAAGCTAAAGGTTATAAAACACTTCATGACTGTTAGTGAGAATTTAAAAGCTCTGGGTTCATTTCCTATAACAGGAATTTACAGTGACAATCTATTTTACAACTCAGGTAAAACTCAACAAATCCTTGCTTGGGGTGGGATGAAGGGTAGGGTCAGAGATCAGGTCCAGTGTTCTACAGCTGAGCTGCACCCTCAACTCCAACTCACCGCTGTCTTTATTTCCTGAGACAGGGTCTCACTGAGTAACTGGCAAGGCTAGAGCTCACTCTGTTCAAGGCTGGACTTGAACTTAGAGATCTTCCTGTTCTGTCTCCAGGACAACACCACACCTGGCCTCAGTTTACGTGGGTAATGGTGGGAATCTGATACAGAGAGAAAGGTTGGTTCCTAAAGTTGTTGGTTGACACGTTCGGCAAATATGACTCTGTTGAGACCAGGGTCGTCTCAATGGCTTGTAACATTGATGACTTCTGCTGTGCAGAAAATGGGATGGCTATTCTTGGTTGTGAACTTGACTACATCTGGAATTAAGACCCAAGTGGGTGAGTACACTTGTGAGGGTTTTTTTTCCTTTTCTATTTTTATTGAGCTCTACATTTTTCTCTGCTCCCCCCACCCCCGACTCTCCCTTCCCCTTCAACCTTCCTCCCAAGGTCCCCATTTTCCCAATTTACTCAGGAAATCTTGTCTTTTTCTACTTCCCATGTAGATTAGATCCATGTATGTCTCTCTTAGGGTCCTCATTATTGTCTAAGTTCTCAGGGATTGTGGTTTGTGAGCTGGTTTTCTTTTCTTTATATTTGAAAACCACTTATGAGTGAGTACATATAATTGCCTTTCTGTGTCTGGGTTACCTCACTCAAAATAATGTTTTCTAGCTCGATCCATTTTCCTGCAAAATTCAAGATGTCGTTATTTTTTTCTTCTGTGTAGTACTCCATTGTTTAAATGTACATTTTCCTTATCCATTCTTTGGTTGAGGAGCATTTAGGTTTTTTCCAGGTTCTGGCTATGGCAAACAATGCTGCTATGAACATAGTTGAGCACATGTCCTTGTGACACGATTGAGCATCCTTTGGATATACACCCAAAAGTGGTATTATTGGGTCTTGAGCAAGGTTGTTTTCTAATTTTCTGAGAAATCGCCACACTGACATCCAAAGAGGCTCTACCAGCTTGCATTCCCACCAACAATGCAGAAGTGTTCCCTTTACCTCACAACCTCTCCAGTATAAATTGTCAACAGTGTTCTTGATCTTGGCCATTCTTACAGGTGTAAGATGAAATCTCAAGAGTTGTTTTGATTTACATTTCTCTAAGGATGCTGAACATTTCCTTAAATGTCTTTCAGCCATTTTAGATTCATCTGTTGAAAGTTATCTGTTTATGTCTGTACTTCATTTTTTATTGAATTATTTGTTCTTTTGATGACCAATTTCTTGAGTTCTTTGTATATTTTGGAGATCAGATCTGTCTGATGTGGGGTTAGTGAAGATCTTTTCCCATTTCTCATTTTGTCTTGTTGAACAGGTCCTTTCCTTTACAGAAAAGCTTTTCAGTTAGAGGAAATCCCATTTATTGTTTCTCTCAGTGTCTGTGCTGTTTGGGTTATATTTAGAAAGTGATCTCCTGTGCCAATGTGTTCAAGTGTACTTCCCACTTCCTCTTCTAGGAGGTTCAGTGTGGCTGGCTTTATGTTGAGGTCTTTTATCCATTTGGACTTGAGTTTTGGGCATGGTGATAGATAAATATGGGTCTATTTTCACTCTTTTACATGTTAATATCCAATTATGCCAGCACCACTTGTTAAATATGCTTTCTTTTTTGATATTTTTTACTTGTCAAAAATCAGGTGTTTGAAGGTGTGTGTGTTAATATCTGGGTCTTTTACTTGGTTCCAGTGATCCTCTTGTCTGTTCTCATGCCAATACCAGGCTGTTTTCAGTACTGTAGCTCTGTAGAAGAGTTTGAAGTCAGGGATTGTGATGCCTCCAGAAGTTCTTTTATTGTACAATATTGTTTTGGCTATTTTGGGTCTTTTGCTTTTCCATATGAAGTTCAGTACTGTTCTTTCAAGGTCTGTGAAGAATTTTGCTGAGATTTTGATGGGCATTGAACCTGTAGATTGCTTTTGGTAAGATTGCCATTTTTACTATGTTGATTCTACCTACCCAAGAGCATGGGAGATCTTTCCCCTTTCTGGTGTCTTCTTCAATTTCTTTCTTCAAAGATTTAAAATTCTTTTAAAAGTCTTCCACTTGTTTGGCTAGAGTTACTCCAATATATTTTATACTATATGTGGCTATTGTGAAGGGTGTTGATTCTCTGATTTCTTCCCCAGTCCTTTTATCATCTGTGTACAGGAGGGATACTGATTTTTTTTTTAGTTAATCTTGTATCATGCTACATTGCTGAAAGTGTTTATGAGTTGTAGAAGTTCCTTGGTAGAATTTTTGGGGGTCGCTTATGTAGACTATCATATCATTAGCAAATAGTGAGAGTTTGACTTCTTCTCTTCCAATTTGTATCCTCTTGATCTCCTTTTGGTGTCTTACTGCTCTAGCTAGAACCTCAAGAACTATATTGAAAAGGTATGAACAGAGTGGACAACCTTGTCTTGTTCCTGATTTCAGTGGGATCCCTGGGAGTTTCTATTTAGTTTGATGTTGGTTGTTGGCTTGCTGTATATTGCCTTTAGTATGTTTAGGTATTTTTTTGAAATGGGAAGTAAATTATTTGAAATGGGAAGACCCACTTTAATCTGGATCTTCTGAGGTACAAAGATCCACCTTTAACCTGGGCCACACCTTCTGCTGGCGGCCTACATAAAGGACAAGGAAGAAGAAAGTGTTCTTTTCAAAAGTGAAGTCCATCTCTTTATTGGCATTAAAGCCTACTTCCTTGGGATGCTGGTGTATACTAGAGACCAGCTGAGACAGCCACTCTCATGGACTGAACAGCTAACAGGTTCTTGGACTTTCTGCAGGTAGACAGTCATTGTTGTACTAGCTGAACCATAAATAAATCTCCTTTCTACAAACATATAGACTTATTCTATCAGTCTGCCCCTCTGAGAATCCCTCTGATACAGCAAATGAATCTGTTCTTATAAAAATTTCTGTGCACACACCAAATTCATTAGTATTTACATTTATTTCATGTATGCCATTTACACACTCATTGAACAAAACTGGAATGCAAACAAATGTACAAATACCTTATTAAGCATTATCAAATAAAATAACTGGCACTAGTGTTATATAAGCAAATGAATGGACGCAGCGCGGAAAAGGACGGTGAAAAACTGCAGCCCAGGGCATTTTC